GAGCGTTACCAGTCGAGCTAAAACTGCAATTTCAAAAGACAAACAGGGCGTGCGCCTGATCTGTGGATGTTGCCACCAGCAACTCCTACCAGAAAGGTTACTTACGTACTCTGTGGCTCTAACGTCACGATTTTCAACACATCCAACTCAAGGCATGCCTAACCCTCGGCGCAAAAGTTCGCGTGCCATTACTTTCATAAAAACAGTCCACTATGAACTGACCTTTAACCTAGGCAAATGTAATATCATCCAACATCTGCACCCGCAAAATGAAAGAGAAACGCCCTCAAAGGACAGTCCACGCTAATTCGGCACCGGCGTATAAAGCCACCCCATCGGAGGAACCGAACGAAATGTCAGCCAGCAGCGGGGGTGGGGGGGGTGGGGTTACGCAAGGTACAGAAATTTAACAAAAGAAGTCTGTAAAGGCGCGTCGAATCACGATTTTCTTCAGCGCCTCCTCCTGAAGGTTGCAAGGAACACGAAGCGCTCTCAACGGCCTCGCCTTCTCGTGGTGTCACACGCTTTAACTAACGAGGCTCGGAGGACCGAGTCGGTCCATCAGAGTTGGATAAAACACCGCATCAGAGTCTGTACTAAGAAGCGCTGGTTGAAGATTCTTTTTTTAAAAGTCACTACCTGCATCGTGTACTGTCTTAACCGTTGCCATGGTAATGTTAAGGAATTCTGGGCGATACAGAGTAACACTTATGACCGTGCGTTTACTAAACTTGATTTTCCCGTCATTATTGACGGGTATACTAGAAATACCAAGACGTGTCCTGCAGAAAGACGATATAAGGATGTAAAATGGATTCATCTGGCTTAAAACAGCGACCAGTACCGAACCTTCGGGGTTTGGTAACAGGTGGGGGATTTCTTGACCAGCTAGGAGACTATCAGCTTCTTAAGAATGACTCTGCTTCTAACAATTCGCAGTAGTTGGTTTCGGGACAAGCAGACGGGCTCCAGGGAACGTTTTGATATAATATATAATTCGAGAATTTAGTCAGGCTTTAAGAAAAAGATACATCGAAGATGGCCACATATTTCTTCAGCGAAACAGAACTGCAAATATGGCGACGAAGCAAAAATCTCCTAGTATACAAAGGACGAATTCTGAGTCGTCTAAATTTGTGCGGAGTACTAACTAGTCTAGGTCTAGTGGTCAGAACACTAGCCTTGTAATCCTGGGGACCAGGTTCAATTCCCGGTGGTGCTCAGATTTATAACTTGTGTTGGGCAAGGCCGTGGTCTAGGCAACACGGAGTTTTCCTTCGTGGCATCCCAACAATTACTCCATTCACACACAGAAGAAGGCAATGGCAAACCACTTCTGGATCATCTGCCAAGAACGTATATGAACAGGTCCCAGTCCGAGAAAAGGATGGAAGGATCCTGTTCATATGGACCTGTCGTCAGACAGAACACTAAATAATAATAATAACTAACTAGTGTCATTAATTTAAAGATCTCATTTGCCCCGACATCTGAGCCAAAGCATCTGAAGGAAAGCACTTCCCTCAATCATGGCCGACTGATTGAGGCGAAAAAAAAATATTGCTCGCGAGACACAATTTCGGAACTAGTGTCACACTTCCCCTGCAAGTGAACCACGAGACTTACCTTAGGCACGCGTGGAGTTTCGTCGCCTTGGCAACCAGGTCTTCCCATAGAGGCGTTCCATTCTGAAACAAGAATAACAATCAGTGTTTCAACCCCTCAGTGACGACACAACGGAAGCTAAACACTAATAAACACAGTGTTCAAACACGAGGCAGGCAGTCTCTCTCTCTCTCTCTCTCTGCTACAAGAATAGTTCAGTCCCGTTTACCATCTAAGGAACAAAGACAATCAAAAAACAAAAACAGTAGCACAATTTTCAGATCCTAATATGTACACTAATAGATGCTTCAGCGAGGAAAATTTGGGGATAAAGGTGGTCGAAGCGTGAAACTAGCAGACACGTGGAACGCGTCCAGGTTAACTCCCACGCCAAATAGTGTTTCATTAAGGGGTCCAGACTCGGTAACATTCTGGTACATGCTCAAAAGCACAGGTGATAAAAAGCATCATTAGGGAAGGGAATTAAAAATTCAAGGAGAAAAGACGGAAAATTGAAAGCGCTTACACGTGACATCGCATGAAAAATCTGTAATGAACTCAGACATTTAAACCCAAATACTCCAAGAAAGTCGCTGGAAGAACGTGACGTCACGCAGGCGACAGATTCTTGTATTAACATCCTTGAAGCCCCAAGAAGAGATGACAGGAGATGATAAGAAAAGGTAAGAGAGAATACGTAAGAAAGAATAGAAGATAGGACAAAACAGGAGATGAGATTACAAGAGAGAAGAGAAAAGAGAGGATCGCCCTGAAGTTACCAACCTAACCCAACCCAACCTAACCTAAATTAACCTATCCTAACCTAACCTAACCCAACCTAAATTAACTCCTAACCTAAACCCAACCTAACCTATCCTAACCTATCCTAACCTAACCCAACCTAACCTATCCTAACCTATCCTAACCTAACCCAACCTAACCTATCCTAACCTCACTCAATCCGACCTATCCCAACGTAATCCACAAACGGGTGGATGCGTCCCATAAGACGCATGCGCCTCTGATGTAGCATCACAACACAAAGGTTACGACGTCCGTGTTAGGTCCTTCGCCCCTGCCGTATGAAGCTGTTTCGCCGCACACGGGTGCTTCCTCCCAGCGGTTTATCTGCGAAATCTTGTCACCGAGACCGAGGTAGTTCTACCCCACATCGGCGTTCGTACCCGGCTTACGCCACGTCGCACCCCATCACCGTCAAATGGGCGAGTACCATTTTAGGATTCACTTGAACGCGGACAGACAGAAAAATCAGCCCATACCGTGTTCTTCGCCAACGCCAGGGCGCGAGGAACAGCCCATAACCACGAATTATCCTTATCGAATTCAAAAGACTACATGAAAGGGTGAGTGGGGGAATTACAGCGATATTTGCAAGCAGAAAACAAGAGAACAGTTCTTAGAAACTGCGAACGTGTTGCTGACATCAGCAGCAGTCAGCAGGCCCCTAGACACGAATCAGATACCTTCAGGTCATAACGCAGAACGTCCGTCCATCGAGACGGTAGTAATTAGTGTGACAACCTGCAATGTTGCAGGTGGACATAACTTTCCGAGGATCAGCCGCCAGTGCACAAGAAAGGCAATAAATCCTAACGGTACACCACGGACGAAATTACGAGCAATTTCAGAGAACGGGGCTACAGCGAGGCCATGCGATCTATAACAGTCAGCACCGCGAATTAAGGCTTTGACCGGGATGTTCTTTTGTTAAATCTTATGTGGTACCGCCTGATTCGACTTCTAATGGTTAAGTGAAGTGTTTTCTTCGCGGTACGGTCTGGATTCGTAAATATTATGAAGACGAGCTTCGTCTTCAAAGGGTTAACCAGCTGATTTTCGTAATGGTGAGGTGTAGTGTTTTCTTCGCGGTACGGACTGAATTCATAAATAATATTCAGACGATCTTCGGCTTCAAAGGGTTAAGTAACTTTAAATACCTACATCTTGAATACTTAAAGAGCGGAGAGCTTGTTTAAATGCCAGTAGTCGCTCAGGAAGCCATGAAACGCAAGGCCTTTCACGGACCCCGAAGGTCATACAAGATCATAGACCGAGTTCATACACTCCCACCACATTTACACAAGATCCATTACAATATTATCCTCCCATCTATGACTAGGTCTTCCAAGATGTCTCTACACGTCAGGATTTCGCATTTCTGAAAAGAGGTTCACGAGGGTCAGGACATCGACGGGTGTCAGGCTTTTGTGAGCAGGGTAAAGAACCTTCCGGTTCCATATGATGATGCGAGGAACGTCTTGGCTGGTTGAGCGACTATCAGCTCTTCAAGAAAGACTCTGCTACTGGAAGTTAGATAGGATGAAATGGGAGAGACAGGATAAAACGAAGGCGAAGTGTAAGGTCATTGGGGCATTCAATGTAATTTCTGTAAACTTTGTACGATCCAAGTGATATTACATCTGATCCACGTCTAGACACAAGCTGTCTCACGCTTCAAAACGGTGAACGTGCTTGACTATGACCGATTTTATCCGTCGAATACCGAGAGGAAGATGTCAGAAAGATGTTTTTGAGGCCAATACATACAAAAAATTATAATTTCTGTTTCACCCTTTGAAGCCCGAAGCTCGCCTTAATAATATAATCCAGTCCGTACCTCAAAGAAAACCCAACACGTCTCCATAACAAAATGATAAGTCGATTAATGCTGTTTTAATAATCGCTGTTTACACCGAGAATCATGTTTGGCACAAATTCACTGTCTGGACGAAAGTAACTGTTAATGGTGTTAAAACAATGGTATATATAGTTACCACTACGCTTTAAAGCGTTAAAGAAATCTTCAAATCGACGTTTTGGGATTTAGGGCGCATTAGTAGTTACAAGCTAAGGGTTATTAAGTTGGGAATAAATGGTGATAAGGGAAGTGAAGTGTCTTAGTCTCCAAGTGATGAAGGGCTGTAGTTCTTTGGGATAAAATTTTCATGTACTGAGAGCGGACTTTATATTCCACTCTTAAGTATTGTGATTAATTAGTGGATGTGTGTTTTTTATTGTGTGTCAGATTTTTTTATTTTGAGTGTGGTATGTTGTATTGTTGTGTCTCATTGTATTGTTGTGTGAGTGCATCAGTTCATGACGTTTGTAATACATTCCAGTTATTGTCTTATGTCTAGGTGGTATTAAGTTCTTTTTTTTTTAAGTTAAGTACTTGAGGTTGGATGGTTTTGTAATTTATGAGTTGGTTGATTTTGAGTGGGATGTGTTGTTTTTGTTGTGTCCTTTTTTATTGTTTTGTTCTGTCTCTGTGTTGATGTATCTCATTGTTTATTGTGTCTTATTGTTTTTGTTGTGTCCTTTGTTTATTGTTTTGTTGTGTCTCATTGTGTTGTTGATGTATCTCATTGTTGTGTCATATTGTTTTTGTTGTGTCCTTTTGTTTATTGTTTTGTTCTGTCTCATTGTGTTGATGTATCTCATTGTTGTGTCATATTGTTTTTGTTGTGTCCTTTTGTTTATTGTTTTGTTCTGTCTCATTGTGTTGATGTATCTCATTGTTGTGTCATATTGTTTTTGTTGTGTCCTTTTGTTTATTGTTTTGTTCTGTCTCATTGTGTTGATGTATCTCATTGTTGTGTCATATTGTTTTTGTTGTGTCCTTTTGTTTATTGTTTTGTTCTGTCTCATTGTGTTGATGTACCTCATTGTTCTGTTCTGTCTCATTGTTTTGTATGTTATTGTAGGACACTGCCACCGGGTATAAACCCATTTGCAGTCAATAATAAATAATAATAATAAAAAATTATATTCGCGACGATAGTATATTTTAATTTTGAGCGCAGTGAAGTGGACCCTCACACAGTTATGGACGCTCGGTATTCGGGACGCCGCGGTGCATTGACCCAAGCATGTACACCTGATTACGTCACAGTTCTTTTTCTTCTTCTTCTCCTGTCAGTCACACGCGGATTACAGAAGCCACACAAAACAACGATTATTATTCCAGCATTCAAGAAACACCCTTCTCGCCTGTGTCAGCAAATATGACGCTAAGACTGGAGTCTGAGGCTATAAATAATCCAAAGCAGCGATACATCGATGTCTGTTGCTGATATGCGAGGGTTCTGCGACCCGAGCGGTAATAAACAAACACGGAACATAAACACGAGGAGAAAATTCAAAATTTAGGGATCCAGGCAATTTCAAGTAAAAAAGAAACTATAATTAGGCCTCATCTACAGGCCTATATAAATTATACACCACCTACCCTAAATCTATAGCCACGGTGGTCTAGCGGTTAGAACGCTGGCCTTGTAATCCTGGGGTCTCGGGTTCCATTCCCGGCGGTGCCCGAATTTATAACTTGTGTTGGGCAAGGCCGTGGTCTAGGCAACACGGAGTTTTCCTCCGTGGCATCCCAACAATTACTCCATTCACACACAGAAGAAGGCAATGGCAAACCACTTCTGGATCATCTGCCAAGAACGTATATGAACAGGTCCCAGTCCGAGAAGAGAAAAGGATGGAAGGATCCTGTTCATATGGACCTGTCGTCAGACAGAACACTAAATAAAAATAAAAGCTTCAGGGGGGGACAAATAGAGATTGGGGAGGAATGGCCAGACATTCCGGGTAACTTTTATAAGCAATTCGGGAAAATTAAAAATACAAAGAAATGTCGACTCTGCGCTGGAAGGTATGGGGGATGAATCTGGTTGCCACTGAGCCACGGCTTCTTGGCTTCATGCGATGGATTACGTCACGATCCTTGGCTTCTCGACAGTAAAAAAACTTCCCGCCTCAAGACTTTCTTGTAATGGTGACAGAACTTTCAACCTTTCGGCTTCTTGTCATCGACGATTTCTAATGGCCCTGAGGTTAAAACCTGCAATCGACGTTTTAGACGCCAGAAGCGGTAATTAGTGGAAACGATGTTTAACAGACCGTGTTCAGAACTACGAAAAGTCGACTGTTTACTCTTTACTCGCTCAGTTCAATTGCTAACTGCCACGCACGACGACAATGAAGCTGTAAACAATAAAAACGTCGGGAAAGGATTCACGTGAACAAAGAAGATAAAATCTTTCAACCAACAGTCACCACAATAACGAAAATTACAGCACAGTGAGGAGCTTTAGAACGGGGAAAGATTTCGCTTTGGACGAAATAAAATCAAAGAGAGGAAAAGCAGGACACCGATTTGAAACGCAAACAAAATTTTGGTTACAAAATCTGAAGGAAACAACCACTAGGTAGACCAAAAATAAATGACACGGAAAAAGATCTAGGCATTCAGTCACATTAACTTTCATCAAGTTTCAAAAGATCTTATAAACTCTCCTACGGTACGACAAATTGCCGCAGGGCGAGGCAGCAAGCGCCTCTGAAACGTCGGTAAGCATCTACCAGACGACAGCCATCTTCGGACTCACCGCCGTGAGAAACCTCAAATGCTACTTAAATTTTAATAACTTCCTCATGTCCGAAATGAAGACTCGATCAAAGTGAAGTCTTTGAGGTCTAAACTGCAAAGGTTTGAGCATCGCCCTGGGGGCAGATCTCACTACGACCTTTGAACAGGTGCTGGTAGGTCTTCAGCTACGTACGCCTCACGGCAACAAAGGGTTAGCTCAGCGATAGAGAGAGAGGGAGAGCGAGACAGCAAAACTGGTTTGTAACGGAATCCCAGTTTAGATGCATCTTTCCGTTTCAGGCGGGATTCCGTCTTACACAAGTACTTCCGGGCAAAAATACCGCACGGCGAACAAACCCCATCTATTTATTATCCGAATTACAAGTCACACAAACCCAAGAACATTCTTTAAGATTCCCTTTCTTTCTCTCTCTCTCTCTCTCTCTCTCACCCCCGCCCCTTAATATTTAAATCCTGATTTCTTTTTCATCCTTTCCATTCCGTTAAAATATTCTATCAACTTCCTGATAAGTTCTCGCAGACTTTTCCCGCCCTTTATGGGACGTAAAGGTTCATTACCGCGTTCACAAGAGCCCGCCACCAGTCCCCAGATAAATTCAACCCACATCTTCCGTCCACGGTCAAGTTTAATTATTTCTTTCCCATCCGTTGAGCAATAAATTTCAGATCAAAAGTGTTCCCAGGACAACCGAAGTTACAAGAGCATTACTGTACAATTAAGATTTGTTTCCATGAAGGTTCACGTTTGATCCATAGAACACAAATCATCAAGAGTGAAGATCATCGTTCAAGTATTAATTATTAATACGTCATTTCTGTGTCATCTGTTCGATCAGCACAAATAACGCAAATCTTTCGGAGTTTCAGGAGTACGAAAGTTTTCTAGTGATTTTCATCTGGCCCGCGGTCACTTAAAAATAAAGCCCCGTACGTATTCGGCCCCCGAGTGAACAGAGGGTGATTCTTAACTGCATAAAGAAATATAAGAGTCGTGTTCTGCTCCCAAAATCCAGTAAAAAAGTTCCTATAAACATGTGCTTTTTCAGTAAGAACAGGAAGCCTAAGGTCATTAAATCAACCAAGTAACGTTCTAATTTAGGAGACTTCGCCATAAAACCACCAAAGTGTTTACAAAAGGTAATATAAATGTTCCCCGTTGCTTTGAATGCATGACCGAGTCCTGCCACGCGATGCTGCCGTTAATGTATGTAATTAAGGATCACCCTGTATAATTGCCCGCCCTCCTTCGACGCACACACAAGATAAAATTCCAGGGACATGATGACAACTCGATATTGCAAACACTCAGCAGCGCACGGACGAATCCACTCTCATGGACGAGAAAGTAACACCCTAGAGTAAGGTCCGGAGTTCGAGTCTCTCGCGGGTCAGCCATAAAAAGTCCTACCATCAGGCGCATATCACATCCTTGGGGCCTCTGCCCCGTAACGTGCCCGGCCCTGGCACATACTGCGCCAGAGTCTTCCTTAGTCAGTCAACAAAGTCTCCAACTTGCATTAAACTGAAGGAACAACACCGTGTTCTAAGGAACCCGACACAAGATCCTATCCTCAGCCAGTTAAATCCAGTGCAAAACAAAAAGATCCTTTTTAATATTATCCTCCAAAAAATTGCTAAGTCTCCCAAACGTCAAGGATGAAAATGATCTTAGAAACTGAAATAAAACTGCACGAACAAGAAACTGAATAAAAATATCTTCCAGCCCTGGGACTCTTTCACCAATCTAATAAATATCATCAGTTACCAGAAATTCTGCCCTGTACTGATTTTGAAGGCCAGAGTTTCAGAATTGTGCGCTGTAACCTTGTCAGTAACAAAACAAGTTGAACGTGCATTTAAGGTCTGTCATGATGCAAACTGTTTACGTCCTCAAGCACACAGCATCAGCAATGGAGCTGAGACACAGAAATGCAGAGAAAAAGACGGAAATCTCTGATTCCATTTGTCTTAAAAAAGGACACGATTCTGCACCTTTTTGCAGCTTTTGTAATTAGATTATAAAATGGACATCAAATGACTCAGACTTAAATCTTACTAAGATCTATTAATGTTTTAAAGCCCACCTATTCCGACGTACAGTAAATTCACATTTCGCCCACAGAGTGTTTCCTATGATTTTCAGAATAAACGCTGACCATCTGATCGTTGTCATGGAGACAGGCTGTGTTTTCTTTGAGGTAAGAAATGAAAGTTTCAATATCACTTACATGACATTTGTGCCTTGAAGGGTCAACCTATGTTTTAAATATTTCCTCCTCCGACGTATATTTAATGAAGGCATGAGAGTATCTGACAATGGAACTATCGAGGACACATCACTGCTTCGTCTGGACTGTCTATGGTACGTGAGTCTGTCCCACATGCAGCCAATGGACACACAGCTCACTAGCGTGAAGGAGCTGCCTTCAATAGCAGCTTTAATGGGGCTCTTAAGCAAACTGGCCGTGACAAGTAATATGGTTCTTATGCAAATGTGCTTATGAATGGATACAAGCAAGCCACCTCATGATCGAATGCTGCAAAGGGCTCTGCGATCTGGTGAACAGGACAGAGCATGAAACACTGAGTTGTGAAGACATCTTCAGACTTCGTCGTGCTTAAAGGATGTCCATTAAAGCATATAAGGATATAAGAGGCCTCTGGCAGGTTGGAATACCTGATAATGGCATTAATAAATGTAATTACAGCCATATTTTAAAATTCTTTCAAAATCGACCACATAGATTGAAAAATCAATGATAAATAACACAAATTCTGATGAAAGCAAGGCTTTTTTGAGGTCAGGGGAATCCACAGTGATTACTGATAAACTTATTACAATGCCGAGAGTCATAGCATGTCAATACATGAAATTATTATAGCTCTTTGTGAATTTTTGTTAAACTAAAGTGTTAGGAGAATTATGATGATAATTATTTCTACACTGATACACAAATTAAATGCATATAAAAACATGGTGTTAAGAAAACTGAAGAATACAAATTAAAAGGATCAGTGTCCAGAAAATATGAGTTTATCCTCCTACTGGTCAGTTGTAAATGATAAAGAGTACATAAAATATATCTATAAACATCACACTATAAAAAGCCTTCCTGTCATGGATAAAATTATTTCCATGTGACCATCATTACTTCTCTGCAGTGCTCTTCAATTATTACTGCTTAAGGTGTGAAGAATTGAAGAAATTATGTAAAAACGGTGGTTTATTTTTTTTCCACAGTTGGTCCTGGGAGCAGACTTTCGTTTCAGTAGACATGAATCTGGGTTTCAATACCAAGCAATCGTTACAAATATGCTGAATTTAATGTTTGTCCTGTCTCGGATTAAAACTGGAAATGAGTAGTCTTTGTTTACATTCTTCCAACAAAGCGAACACACGAGAGTCAAAACTAAAGCCATTAAACATGATTAAACGGATATTACTTCATTCGAACACATTAATCGATAACATTGTGACTTTCATTCAATAAAGTACCGGTAAAATGCATTATCTATGCAAGTCATATTCTTACGCACACGAACAACAACGGACATTCACTCAGGAGTACACATGGCATGAAAATGCATTAAACAAACCAAATCTCAATTACTCACCTCTAACCTCTAAATTCGCCTAATTCGTATAACTATGCCTTCATAGCAAAAAAGATGACTTACTTTCATATCATTTATAATTTGTTGGAATAGACCTCCAAGCGCACTGCATTCTCTTTCGATGTTTCCTTCCATATTGATTTACTGAGTTTGGTGCTCTCCTACGACGAGATAAAAATTATTCGTGTCCTTTCCACGCAAGAGTGTTTAACAAAAACTCTGTCACAGGATTCATGACGGTAGCACAAGAAACATGGAAACACGGTGCTCTTATTACCATTGTGGGGTGTTGCCCCAGTCACTTCAGGTTCACAAAAGTTCAAACACCTTGTTTTGTTTTCATATTCACGTCAACAACCATATGACTTCATTCATCCCACGTACTATTATGAAATACTTGAAAGTCACTGTAGGCCAGCATACAAATTGCACTTATAATAGGCTGTCACATCACAAACATACCCTCACTAACAATAATAAGAATATCTTAAAGCTGCAATTATTAGGCCAATTTCTTAAGTTGAAATACAGGCGCACTTCTTTCCCATCTGAATATTCATTGTAGCACTAACAGACTTCTTCGCATCACATACACCATAACGATCAAGACTTCAACACGGCTTTCACTCCAATCATTATTTTCACAGATTATTTCTGGTAGCCTTGTCTGTATATTATGAACTACTTTCTGTATGGCCAAGAGCTTACTCACTACTCCCATCTGCAGGAATTTTTCGTGTTCTAAAGCTAAACATAACAACACAGTTGCCATCTAACAAGTAATACTGAAATTACAGCTCTTGGGCATGATTACTTCACTCTATCGCAATACGAAATTTGTTGGTTGAAACAAAGGTTATAAACCAAGATTAATGATTTGTTGAACGAAAGTATAATTCCTATCTTATAAAATAACACTGTTCAAAAACATTAAGTATTGTCCAATATCATTTTTGGTTATCTTTGTTTTAAAAACTTATGTAGAAGAGTTGAATGCATTATCAAAGCTGAAATGGCATGTTGGATAATGGCCATACATTCGTAATGACAATGATTTATAAGACTGCATAACGTCATTACCAAAAGACCATGATGAAAAACCCAAATCGGATAAGTATACTTTTTCTTTTCCATACACAAAATGATGAAACATAGATTTTGTATTAGATTTAATATTCGCTGACCAATGAACTTAAGACGAAGGAAATTGGTTTTTTATCTGTGACTGTAGCGTATACAAATAGAGGAAGTAAGAGTTGTTTCAATGCGTGAGTCTGTCAAAGCAATAGTTATAATTTCAAAATTTAGTTAACTCAGTATTATTTTGTTTTCATTTTAGAAACAATATGTCGTTCTTGCGAGGGTCTGCCAACTATGTATGGTGCACCACAAGTGTTTTAGGAAAGGGTGCCACTGGTGCAGTTTATCAGGGTGTAAATAAAAACAATGGTGAACCAGTTGCTGTTAAAACATTTAATCAACTGAGTCACATGAGACCTCATGACGTACAGGTACGCGAGTTTGAAGTGCTGAAAAAAGTTAATCATGAAAATATTGTTAAACTTCTTGCTATTGAGGAAGAACAAGATGGTAGGGGCAAAGTCATAGTTATGGAACTTTGCACAGGTGGAAGTCTCTTTAACATCTTGGATGATCCAGAAAATACGTACGGCTTGCAGGAAGAAGAATTCCTGCTTGTTCTGGAACATCTTTCTGCTGGAATGAAGCACTTACGAGATAACAGACTTGTGCATCGAGACCTGAAGCCTGGTAATATAATGAAGTTTATTACTGATGATGGAAGTACTGTTTATAAGCTGACTGACTTTGGAGCTGCCAGAGAGCTGGAGGAAGATCAACAGTTCATGTCACTGTATGGAACAGAAGAATATCTGCATCCAGACATGTATGAGCGAGCTGTGCTTCGCAAACCTGTGGGAAAGACATTTGGAGCAACGGTTGATTTGTGGTCAATAGGTGTTACTCTGTACCACGTTGCAACAGGTAACCTACCATTTCGACCTTTTGGAGGTAGGCGGAACAAGGAAACTATGTATTATATTACTACAAAGAAGGAGTCTGGAGTAATTTCTGGTTTACAGACAAGTGAGAATGGAAAAATAGAATGGTCCAAGGACTTACCGCACAATTGTCAACTGAGTGTTGGTCTGAAGAAGTTGGTTACACCCCTTCTGGCAGGTCTGCTGGAAGTGGACCCTCAGAGAATTTGGAATTTTGAAAGGTTCTTTAAGGAAGTTACCTATATACTATCCTGCAAACTTATTCACATATTTTACATGAACAGAGTACAAAGTATCAGAGTATACTTGCCTCCTGAGCGGACGTCTGGAGAGTCCCTCCCAACCGAGCGAGCGTGCGCAGATCTCTACTTCCCTGAAAGAACATATGGAAAGCTGCAGAGCCTGGTGCAGGAGCAAACCGATGTTGCTCCAGCTAATCAGATTCTGCTGTACCAGGAGTCGCTGTTGCTGCCATTTATTGAAGATTCAACTGCTGGTCAGTCATACCCCTTGACTCAGGATGACAAACCCCTGATGCTGTTCAGTAAGGAAAACAATAATGTTACATTGGCTGCAGAAGGGGACATACCCATTTATCCCAGTTTTCCTACCCATATGTCAATAGAGACGGATGCAAGCTTAGCCAAGACATGTTGTAGCGTGGGGCATGCCTGCAAGAGACAAGTGGAGAAGCTGTCACGATGCAGCCTCCTTATTCATGCCTGTGTGGAGCAGTTCACTGCATTGGTCATCAAGGATCTGAAAAATGTGGAAGCCAAATGCAGGAAACTGCGCAACTTTACTCATTGTGTTGAGGACACTGTAGAAACAATGGTACGTGCTCATAATGTGATACAGGACCTGATGAAGATCCTGGGTAATGGCGAGTGTGGAAGCCATTGTGACCCGACCGTCCCGAGTCGTGAACTGGTCAATGTACTTGTTCCCGCCATCCACCAGCTTCACCAACAATATGTCACCAAGCACGCCCTGCGGAATGAATGGTCTGTCACTACGCGTGATCTGCCTTGCCCTGCCAAGACCCGCGCTCCTGCCCGTGCCCGCACCATGGCGGATCGTTTGCGTGATTCCTGGCAGCATCTGTTGCGTGACCGAGCCACCCGGAACCTCACCTACAATGATGAGCAGTTCCACGTTCTGGAGAGGATCAAGATCAGTGACACTGGGCAGTGTTTACGTCAGCTTTTGGACAAAGAATGCCAGCCAGCCATCGCACAGCTTGCTGACGCCTTGGCAGATTGGTATAAGATGGCACAGACGGTTTATCTTCGAGCACATATACTTGACAAGGATATGGATGCATATGAGAACCGTATGGAAGCATTTTCTGAACGCTTGGCTGGGAGCGACTGTTCTTTCTATCAGAAACTGCAGGCCACTCTGGATGGGAAAACTAGACCTGCCCCTGTGAAACAGATGCACAAGGTGCATCAGGACGTGAAGGTAATCCACAATAGCTTCAAGGACATCATGGCTGTGCAGGGGGAAGTGATGTCCATGGTGAAGGAGAACTCGCAGATCCTGACACAGTTCCATCAGCTGACGGGGTCTCTTGTTGTTGACGGTGATAACAACGGAGAGGAGAAGTTATGAATGACATTTGTTGCATGTTTGGGTTTGGCAAGGGACGAGTGCCGTGCTGAAAGAACGGCTGGACAGTTGTGTCAGGCAGAGACTTTATCATTTAAGAATTCAGATTCCCACCAGGATCAAATCAAATAACTGTATTATTACTGTTAAAAACAGCTGATTATGATAATCAGGTAAAGACATAAGGCTGAAGGCAGTGACAATAATTGTTTTTACAATATTAATGGCCAGTGAATAGACAAAGTAGAGACTGCGAGGCTCATTATAGCTCATCAGATTTTACGTGGTCCACAAAATTATCAGAAGTTTTGGTAATTGTATCAGGAACCGTATTGAAAAACTGCACAAATAATTGGTATAGTAAGTTGATTATGTGAAATTGTTGTAATAAAGCCTCAAGTCTCATAAATTACAGTATTTACATATAATGGGGGGGACTCATATTTTAATTCCCATTATATTTTGGTTATATATTAATTACTGTTTATGGATTTATAGTTGTTTCTCAATACTACAGTATTAATAATATCTAAACATCAATATGGTTGAGATAATTTTTGAGTCCCTTTTGTCTCTGGACACGATACGTGTCATCTGCAGTAATGACTGCAGTCTAATGGTGAATTTTTTTTTTGAGTTTATTCCCGTGGGATGTACTGAAGGGACAGTGCTACATGAACAGGCATCAGACCATCGATGGCCTCGAAGGAAACAGTAACCAGGAAATTGCAGCCATTTCTGTGGACGTTACATATATTACATTTCGGACCATCACGACCAGTTGCGCACGGACCCTTCGGGCAACCAGTTTCAGTATATTACGTAACGTGAAGCTGCTTCACAACAACTGACTTACCTACCTACTTACTTTGATCTCTGTCAGTTCAAAGACAGTGGTTTTATTGTTGAAAGCCTGGGCCTACATTGAATAGGTCACTGTGTATAATTCAGTCTCCACATAGTTGAGGAATTTATAGTTTAGATGCGTCATGTTTGTGTTTTCAATTTATACATATATTTATTCTTCAAGTCTATACACAAACTATTTTAATATTGATGTTAAAAATTAAAATTGATATAAATATTTCGCGCTATTCATCTATGTTTATAGTGAATTTTTATAACAATATCCAAACTCATTTACATATAAATAATATTAATAATGTTAATTATATTGTTGATAATTTCACAGAAATAATGAACAAATAACATAATACGCCACATAATATGCAAAAGAATCAGAAGAAAAAAGGAACATCCACAACTACAACCTGCGGAACTTTCAGTAAATGGGAGATGTGCATTATTATTTTGTGTAAGTGTGTGCTGTAAAAATTTGTCATGGGTGCTATGAATTATTCCTGTATATAATAACCCTGGCACAGACCAAAATCAAAGGTATCATTCCTATAATTTTGGGGTTCCTTATGGTACAAGATAGTGGGGGTATCTATTTTTAACTATATGAAGTTTTTTATGAATGTGTTATAATATTGCAAGTGCAGAACTTATTTACATGAAATCTTCTGAGTTCACTTTGATATTCTATTGTATAATATATTATTAATAAATGACAAGTTTGAAAATTATTATTATTTAACTTAATACATTATTTTACTCATAGTACATGAAACTGATAACCTTAAAATCATCTGCTTGTACTCATTAAGGACAGTTGGCGTCTGCTCCTGATACATCTTGAATATAAAGTAGGATTACCAACTTCTTACTAGTGAAATTCAATAACAATGAGAAAGAAAGAAAATGTAGCATGCAAGGGGAGAAGAAAAAGAAATTGTACGTAAGTTATGAAGAAACCTTAAAAATGGGTAAGTGGGGTCTCATTCTTGGCTGGAGATTGCTACCACCGTATCCAGACTGAGACTCGCATCTTTGAGAAGCACGCTGCAAAGACATGGAGTGGATTCAACTGACTTAGGATATATCCAATTCCAAGTTTTTGTAAACACAGTGATGAATCTAAATGTTCTATAAAAGTTGGAGAATTTCTTCTCTGTCTTGAGTAATTATCAATTCTGGATGAAGATCTTACATTGTGCAGTTAGTTAACACCTTATTTTTCACATATTTATTTATAATCATTCATACTTTACAGTCTATATTCAACCAATGACCTCTTACCCTTTTCACATCCTTAAGAACAGTATTTTGTATTGCACCAGCAGGTAAGTAGCTATAACACACAAATATTTATACATACCATCAGTGACCAAGAATATCGTTGCAGCGTAGCAATGCACTAATCAATACTCCAAATATGACTCAAGCTATATAACCTGCCCACATTTCTGGTTGTGTACCAGAAATACAATTTACCTCACATATAAGCTCCATTCTGCATTCTGTTAAAAATGCCATTTTTATTTGTTTATATCAATAATAATATAGAGGAGTACAGACAAAGAAAGATTTTACCTAATTCATATAAATGAAAATCCATAAATGTCGAGGGAGAGGAGCTGAATCCATCATAACTAGTATTGTTAAAAAAAAGAATATTAAACAGCCGAAGCAGACAGATAGATGTTCTGAATGAGAAATCTTATTTTTAGCATAGTAAACAATTTATGAACACAATGATCAACTTTCTATTTCCCTGACCAGCGATATTGCAGCAATGTTTTGAGTGCTTGAAAGCAAACACTAGGTATTTCTTAAACATAAGTCTGTACAGCATAAATACAGTGTCAATGCCCTTATCAAAATTCCATTATTGCAAACTAACAAGTACTATGTCCTATGCTTATAATGTTACATCTCTACCATGACTGTACATGAACACATAATTCTCATTAACCTCAATGAAAAATAGCACAGTAATCACATCTTGCTTAATTAGATTACATTTCACCTATACAGTGCATAAAAATAACATAATCTCACACATTCTTGGTCTCATTTTGTAATGACACAATGAAATCTAATGGAAATCCTATTAATGTAGTGAAACATTCTCATGGATGATCAATAAAGTTACTACAAAGTAATCTTGGATCATTTACTGCGGACCACAGATCCCAAACACTGATCTCACTACAGAGCTCAAGGTCACATGGCAAGGAGGCACCACCACATTTGGCTTTGAGAGGGCTGTTTCCTTCATACTTAATAAACTGGCATAATTCTAACCAATCCAAATCGTTATGTCGTGAGAAATCAGACTATTTATTCAACACAACATGTCGCTATATGACCACTCAGGCCTGTCTTCTGGTATACAATTACTTTACAAATTTGCTGCCAAATACATCGCAAGACAATAGTGGCGACGATGTTGAATGTTTGTGCACATTTGTTTATATGACTGTAATTTTCTCAGACAGATGGCTGTAGAGTGTTCAGAGCCTCACTAAAGTGAGAAGAGAACTTTGATGATGCTGGGAATATCAAATTGTGATTTTCCAGCCTATAGTCAGCCATTATATTGACTGTGTTATCTCTGCCCTGCTCTCTGCACAGTTAAACCTTCACTTTTTGCTACCAGATAGGTTAGGTTAGTTTGGGTGTTCAAGGATCTTGCAATGTGACTGATGATGGTAGCGTGTCGTGCAACAGCCCTGGCAGCAAATGTAATAAACTAGAAACAAATCATCTTTGTACCAATCTCATGAGACACTATCTCAAATATTATTTCTCACAAGAGTGATAATTAAAATATTAAGTGTGTTTGAAAAATTCTCAGATGTGTATCTACATACTAATGTTATAGTACTTTGGTGCTTTAATAAAATCCTTCAAGATTTGTGCACATTAATGAAGCCGATGCGTTGCAAAATATTTTATGATACATAGTATTAATATAGGAACTAGCAATATTATAATAATAAGCAAGGCTGACATTGGTTAAAAGTCATCTTGTTTCATTTGTCAGGCATCTGTCAAAGGTATTAATATCATAACATTCAATTGTTTTGACTAACTGCCTCACACAATCTGAGAAATATCCACCGTGAACACTTATGCAGCAGATTCCTCTGAAACGGCACCCTCATACATGACTACAGGGTGTCAGAACCCAAAATACCACAATCTAAACGCTTACTGCCATGAGTCTATTAAATCTCGTGTGTGAAATATCTACATTCATGATACGCTGACATTTACACATCTTTTATCTTCAATTCTTTAAGAAGTATTAGCTGAAATAATTTCGAATATTGTCTTATTCATAACACAGTAAATATAAACAAAAAAAATCTTAATTACTGCAACCATCCCAACCATTTACATACTTATATTATACATATTCAAAGGGTTAAATAAATAAATAAATAAATGAAGCCCTAATAACCTGGTTAGTTATATTTTTCCATATATATATATATATATATATTTTTAGTGACTAACTATTAAAAGAGACATTACGATATTAGTAATATTAATTTCATTATCTGAATTTAGGTTGTGTATATGCTCTGCTAGTTTCTTAATATTTTTTTCAAACTTACCTGTACTTAGTTTTCATATTTTATCTCAAATTTTAATAATCACATTCCTCCAACTATAAAGAATAATAAATTGTAATATTAAATCTGAGCTTTGACATTCGTATGGAAAGACCCCTTGTTAACTGAAACAAGATGTCCGAAACTACTAAACCAATGACAACCCAGCTTTAAGAATCAACATCAGAAACCCATCGCCAACCCCGATCACAAACAACTAACATGATGCTGGCAGCAGACAGCTGCATCCCATCTGGAAATGGGTGATACACTGCTACGTGTTCAGACTCATCACACCTTTCTCAAGCAGCGCTATCGTCCGAGAAGACTGTTTATGCTGGTGGTGTCGGTCCTGTACGCTGATGAAGTGCTGAAGCAACTCGGTGAAGTTGATATATTTGCTGTAGACACTGCAGTCTTTCTCAGTCTTAACGTTCTGTATCCTACAAACACATAATAAGCCTACTTTAGCAATGCCATATGCTTTGTCATGAAACTGCCTCCATATACGAGGCTCGTCCACAAAGTAAGTTTCCCACTCGTCCCACAGCTAGCAAACCTTATATTGTGCTTAGCGACTGTGCGTACGTGATAGAGCAATGACGTAGCATGGCGCATGCACTAACGGCACTTCCCGCGTTCTCACAGTAGCATCGTTGCAGCTGTTGAAGATGGAGGTTC